AATGTTAATTGGGTCTAAAAAATTTCTTTTTAGGTTTGTGTTTTCAATTTTTTCCTTTTTTTGTTGATTGTTCATTAGTATGAAAAGAGTGTATATTTCAAAATTTGGATCAAACAAATGGCCATAAAACGGTTTTTGAAGGTTGTTGCATCATATTACCATACAATGGTTGCATGAAATCATTGCTCATGTTATAAATATCATTTATACATGTGCACATGCACACATATATGCTTGATCCATGTGTGTGTATGTATGTATGCATGCATGTGCATTATATATGTATATATGCAGATAATATGTATGTATGTAAAATTTAAAAACATTTATTTGTCAAAAGGAAACATACAAATCTTTTACCAAGAAAGAACCTACTGATGATATTACTCTATGCACTTATGTTCATTTTTATTAAAGTGTCGTATTCTTCCTTTTTAAATTTTATGAATGTGTCACTCGATTTCAACATTAATAAAAAAAGACCCATTATTTTTCTTTAATCACACAATGTCCGTCACTTGATGAAGTTTGTTCTAGATGATATCAAATTTGCGCGCTATGAGCATTGGCCATGACTTAACTTTTCTTTGTACATCATGATACTTGTCTTTCATACTATGCCCTAGTTATGATTGAGATCTTGTCAACACTGTCTCTGGAGTATATGTGTTTAGTTTCCTTTGAAAATCTCATTAGTGTTGTTATGTAGGATCATATTGAGGTATATGGATATTTTTTTCTTTTTCTTTTCTTCTTTTTTGTGTGCTCCTTGTTCACGTGGTTGCACAATGACTGTTGACTTGGTGTATTAGAGCTCTTCAATATGCATGTCATTTGTTTTGTGCAAGAAAATACCATATCGAGAAGATATCATATTGAGAGTGATTCCTATTCTGAGTAAATCTTCTCATGTAGTCGTCATGCTAAGTTGGTTATGGATAATATGGTTTAGAAATATATTTTCTCTATTATCTGGTTTAGAAATATATTTTCTCTATTATCTGGTTTAGAAATGTATTTTATCTATCAATTTTTCTAAAGCATTTATTATGATCTCATGGAAATCTAGAAATTCGAACATTCCAATAAGGCAGAAATATGTCAATCTGATTGATTCAGTCAAAGAATCTGGGGGCACGGCACATGTATTCTCAACGATGCACGTTTCAGGGAAACGTAAGAAACATTTCCTCAAAACTTTAATTTTTATTTATTTCTTTTTTTATATCTTATCATGTTTTGTCTCTCCTCATTTATTCTTTTTTTATGCCTCATAATGTTCTCTCTCTCCTTTTGAGTCTCATGTTTATGTTTTCGTGTGATGCAGAATTAGCAGAACTTACAGGTGTGGCTGCTATATTACGGTTTCCCTTGCCCGACTTGGATGATATTGAGATGTAATCGAGGCAAGAAGAAGCACGCTCTTAACACAACCAAACATACTATCAACACAACCATTATACACTGGTTTTTTAGAGATTTTTTAATCGGATTTCACAACACTGGTTTTTTAGAGATTTTTTAATCAGATTTTACCACCCCTTAGAGGAAGGGCCAAGTAAGGGGGACGAGTAGGAGAAATAGAAGGGCCAAGCAAGGGGGACAAACTTTTCGATTGCTCGTTTGAGAACTACGATCTTTAGCTTTGCAACTCTAAAGCATTTCCTTGTATCTGAGAAGAACTTCCAGAAAGCTTGATCTGAATAAATCAGATTTTTTCTTCTTATATGTATTCCATTAAATATCAAATGGGTATATAAATATTTATTTTGCATTTTATTTGTAAATATCAAATGGTTGTACAGATATTTAGATGGCATTTTGTTTCTAAATATCAAATGTGTATACAAATATTTATTTTGCATTTTGCTTGGAGTCTATACCTTTTAAGCAAATATTGATTCCATTTAAATATCAAATGGGTATTGTGGACCCCAAATTTCTAAAGGAGTATCTTTTATTTGGACCCCAAATTTTCTCAGGAGTTAATGTACGGTATGCTCCCACAGGAGCATCTCTACTTTTGATTTTGTTAACTTGATTGAGGTCTTGTTAGGTTAACATCTTCCTATGAACAAATATGTTACAATAGAGTTCACGATTGGGTCCAAATTGAGGAAAGGACATTGATCCTCCTTGAGGAGATGTACAAGAGTGAACAAATATGTCAACAGTAGAATTGTGGGATTGGATTGCTAGTATTGGCAAGAACCTTGGTCTCAGTCCATATTTTATTACAGCAGATGTTGAGCCCTCCTTCCTTAGGTGTCAAATCACTGGAGAATAACAATTACAGCCTCTCTTTGGAATCTTTGGACGTCCTTGGGGTATCAAATCACTGGAGAATAACAATTGCAGCCTCTCTTTGGAATCTTTGGAAAGAGATCAATTTGAAAATCTTTGAAGGTAGAGCTAGAGACCTACCCTCTTTGTGCACTATGATTCAAAGATCTATTGTGACTTGGGCCTATGCTTCTCTCCCGCTGACTGCGGTTCCTAGCCTACTCTTCTTTTTTCATTTCAAATACCTATTGTCTCTAAGGAAGAGTCATTTCAAACTTAACTTTGATGGCAGCGTTTGGGGCAGCGCTCTGATGTTGGTGGTCTCCTTCGGGACCATATTGGTTGTATGATTTGGTCTTATTCCGACAGTCTCCATTTGATGTTGGTGGTCTCCTTCAGGACCATATTGGTTGTATGATTTGGCCTTATTCTGACAGTCTCCGTCCATGCGAGATCAATGAAGCTGAGCTTTGGGTCTTGAAGATTGGAGTGCCCCAACTTGACAAGAGGCTCCATAAGGTTATTATTGAAGGCGACTCTGCCAATGTTATTTTGTGGTATATGCAACCCAAATCTTATTCATTAGTGGCTTAGTGTTGTCATGGAGAAATTTTGAAAGATAAATATAAATTCTATTTTGAATATACTTATAGAATATTCGATCAACTTATAATTAGAAAAGGATAAATTTATATGTGAAATTTTGGAAGAGAAAATGCAATCTCTGCCTGATTTTGTATTTAAACTCCGACAATCGAGACAAGGGACTCCATCACATTATGGGCCATGAAAGCAAAACGACCTTACGATCCCTTTTTTGGTGGTTTGCTGGTGGTGCCGACTAAAAATCACTTACACAAAAAATATAAACAAAATTTAAAAAAATATAGGGAGTTTTGGTAAGTGATGTTTAAAATAGAATAGAAAATTAATCAAACAACATAAACAAAAAATATAATATAAAGAGAAAAGAGAATGTGTGCCTACTTGGAGAGAAGCCAGACCACATGCCCCAAACCCCGAGTTAGAAGGCCGGATCAAAGCTGTCACTGTGAGGAACAGTCTTCTCAGGAACATTTGTCATGGGGCCAGTAGAAGAAACATAAAAAAAAACTCTGTAACATTGTTCAGTCTTTTGGACTCTTTTATAGATTTATTCCCTACTTCAATGCTAGACTTATTTCTCTTTATGGTGATTTTGTATCACAAATTTCGAAGTACCTGGTGCAAAGAAGCAGAAAAAGCTACCCTCTTCCGGTGAATTTTTGATGTGCGTCGCGATTTTATTTTTTAAAGCCTCAACCTTATGTAAACATTTTCAATCCCACATTGGATATTTCTTGGGAGTTCTTTCTTATTTGTTTCAACCGTGGATAATAACAGTACATTGTTGGATTTATGTGACCTTTGAATGCTTTATGAGAAACTGTATAAAACATATTTAATAGATGAAACATAAACTCAGTGAGAGTATGGTCTTTGTTATAGACCATACTAAGCAAATGTTATTTACTGATACTCGGATTAGGCTCGACGAGCTAGGCCCGCCGAGGTTTGAAAAAACCCAAGATACATGAGCATAGGGATCTAATCAGAAAGGTTTAGTGGGTTAACCCTTGTTGAGGTCGGTGTATGCCTGGACAAGAGCCGATGGACCATATGGCCCTTGCGTGTAATGAATAACCTTTAAAGATAGGGAAAAAACCCCATATATCACCACACACGTCATGTATATAAGATAGTCATTTTGGGTGATGAATAACCTTTAAAGACATAATTAAAACATCATCGTTATATCATCATACATGTCATGTACATAGATAGCCGTTTTGATATTCGTCAATGAGAGTGAAGCATTTGCCTGTGCAAGAGATAGTCCCTCTCACTTTTAGAGGGTGAAGTGTGTGCATGGGCAAGAGATTGCCCCTCTCACCTTTAGAGACATGGCTAAAACCTCATCATTATATCATCACACGTCATCTACATAGATAGTCGTTTGAGATTTGCCAATGAAGGTAAAACGCATACATATACGAGAGATTACCCCTCTAGACCAGCATTTTTGTCTCCAGGGAAAACTTGAAATTCACGGACTGATATTGCATCTCCTAGTTTATTGGCTAACTTTTGTGGTCTAATTATGAGCCTGGACTGTGGGTCATGGGAACTGCTGAGTCAGTTTGAGAAAGCTAGGCGGATCGTGATTCGCAGTTGAAGGTGGAGTGTTCCCATGTATTGATAATTTTCTATATCTAACGGATCCGATTCCTATCAAAATTAATTAATTTTATGTTATGTGATTTTTAGAATATTTATTTGAATTTTTTGAATCTTCTGATATTTTATTTTTGTCTTAGGGATTTAAAAATTTAAAAAACTATTTTTTCAATGTTTTAAATAAAATATAAGATTTAAAAAATTCTAAATATGAAATAAAATATTTTTTAAAAATACAGAGACATCCATAAAATATGAGGTCCAAAATTTTTAAAACATGTGGATTAGGTGGGGCCACACGTGGCCACCAAAAAGGTGGCACGCTTACGTAGTATTCTTGGGAAGAAAGGAAAGAAGTTTTATCGTCTTGGTTGGCTTATAACGATTATCTTTTTAAGAATAACGAACTTATATGATAAGGTTGAATATTTGAGATATTTATTATAACTTATGTGATAAAGTTTATTATTTTATATATTTACTAAATCTTTGTATCAAGATTGGTTGATCCAATAATTAAGTATGAAATTTATTAAAATATAAACTTTATGAGAATAGATTTAAAAAATAGAGGATAAGGCTCTAGCTCATCTTTTTGAATATTGATGGTAGATAAATGAGATGGATGACTCAAATCCCTCACCTTACAAATATCCTTAGATCAACAATTAAGATTTGATCCTATAAATTTTAGCAAAATCTATAGCATACAAAATCTATAAAAAAGGGTCTCCCTTCATAAATTTATGTACGTATTATTTTCTGTCTATGAATTCTCTCTCCCTATCTCAAATTTAGCTCTCTATTGGATTCTCCCGGCCCCAAATTTAGCTCTCTATCTGTTTAGCTCTTTATTTGGATTCCAAAGTGGAGGCACATCCCAATTTTTATATCTCTCTTCAAGATTTTTTTCTCTCTCCTCTCCAAGAATTTTTTCTCTCTCCAAAGTTTATCTCTCTCCCTTTCCAAGTTGTTTTGGGTTGTTTGAAACCCATTGCTAGTAGATCTCTCCCTCTCTTTTGATATCCATCTCTCATTTCTCTAAAATAGGTTTTTTGGAATCCCTTGCTAATAGATCTCTCCACATCTCTTGATATCCATCTCTCATTACTCTAAAATTAAAATCAAGCTAAGAGACTTGATCAAGATCAAGTCATTGAGTGGGTTTTTACCATAGTAAAGAAATCAATATACCGATCATAGATCCGACCTCCGTGCACTAGCAAAAGGAAGAAACTCAACGTGGGGTGTACTAAGCCGGATTGAGGTAATATCCGACAATTTTATTTTTTAAATATTTATTTATATTTTGATCATCTCTTCTCATAAAACAATAAAGTGAAGTTTTGTTTATTGAATAAATAATTGTATTTGAAGATGTAGCAATTGAGAACTTATTTTATTTTATTTTATTTATTTCAAGAGTGGTTTTATTGTATTTGGACATTGTAAGTGATCTTGCCGATGTAAGAATAAAGAATATATTTTTTTAAATACATATACTTTTGCACACACTCCAATTTTAAAATTGGCAAATTTCATGATTTTCCTAACCTTAGAAAACCCATAGGATCACACTATTTCAGTAGACCCTAAACCATATACCACCACCATAATCCATGGTCCCCATCATATGATCCACACCTTATCCATTTTACATCTAGCAAATCTCATAGTTTTTAGTAGTTATCTATTCTACACCTAGCAAATCCCATATTTTTTAGTAGTTATTTATTCCACACCCATGATTTTAGTAGTTATCCATTCTCAGCTAGCAAATCTAATGATTTTAGTAGTTATTTATTCTACACCTCTATTGAGTCTATAATAAAAAAAACTAAAGTACCTCTTTGGGTGGGACGTGTAGACCGGGAAATCAGATAAAGTCCAAAAAAAACTGAAAGATAGAGAGGGAAAATAGTGATCAAACGTATACAAAGGAAAACCCTAGGTTTAGTCTACTGCCAAGTAATCTATCCAACCAAGCCAAGGCTTGGTCAAAACTTGAAGGGAGAGACAAAGAGGACGCGTGGCATAAACTCAGCCAGTCCCGATACGGGCGAGGCCTCAAAGCCTCGAGAGTACCGGGCCAACTGGCACGGTCTGGTATTTTCGTACTCTTTTTGCATTTCATTTCTTTTATTTATTTATTTATTTTTATTATAATTAAATCAATTTTATTGTATTTTATATTGTATTTCGTGCTTCGATGTTGGCTTTGCCACTGATCTGAGAGCGGATCTATTCGTTTTTTAATAAATTTGGTATCAGATC